CAAAAAATTCCCCCCCAAAACCCTAAAAAGCAACCCTCAGACTCTAGCGCGGCGGTTCTGTAACTGTCCCACCCCCCGCGGCCCGGGCGCCCCCCCCCCCCCCCTCGAAAACCCCCCCCCCCCCCCCCCCCCCCCTGGCTGGAATTCTTGGCACACGGAGACTTGACAGGCAGTTCGCGCAAGTGACATAAACATGACCTGCCAGAGAGCAAAACTCGCCGACCAACACATCCGTCACCCACGAATCACAGGCTGGATTGCGAATCCATCCACGCCAATGTGAAAAGGATGCGATGGACGACGACTATCGCAGGATGATATCAGACCGCCGCTGATGTCACCCGGATTAGGAAAAGGAATTGATCCCTTGCGTCGATTTCTCCTCCTGCCGAGCTGGCAATTAAAACCGTCCATCCCTTTTTATCTCTAACTCCTTATTTATCCTCTCTCCGTTCTCTTGGGATCTCTCTCTATACATTACTCTGCTCGGTTGAATCTAGTTCTGTACCCAGCCTACGGAGTATATCAACATGACCCAAAAGACCCTCACCGTGGGCATTCTCACCACACAGTCTCTAACCCTGTATCTCCCCCTCCTACAATCCCTACCCTACTATCAAATCGCCATCATCTACGATGTCTCAAGCAAAAGCGCCATCTGGCCCAAGGACAATACCACCAACGCCTCCGAAAAAACCACGACGTCCATCCCACAAGCGTCCACCCCCGAAGCCGTAGTCAACCATTCCTCCGTGGACCTAGTCCTCAACTTCATGGCCACTTCTCTGCGCGAGAAATACACCCTCGCCGCCCTGTCGGCCAACAAGCACGTTCTCGTCGAAAGCCCCGTCAGCGTCAGTCTCCCCAGCGCGCACCGCATCATCGACGCTCAGCGGAAATCCCGGGGCCGAGTCTTCGTTGCATCGGCGAGACGATACGTCCCTTGCTTCGAGACTTTCAAAGCAGAGGTCGCCGGCCTGGAGAGGATCTACTATGCCCGGTGTCGGAACATTCAAGGCGGAGTGACACACCCAACCCCTGACGCAAATGCAGAGCTACGCCCCGAGCCAAACACAGCAACAACAGCATCATCAACATTAGCAGCACCAACAACAACAACCCTAACCACCAACGACATCGTCCCTGCCTTCCCCATGGAAGCCACCAATACCTTCCACTCCCTCCTCCAAGAAGCTTTCCTGGGACAGGACCTCACCACCGAACGAATTCTCCTCTCGCGCCTTCTGACCGGACCCCGCGGATGTCCCGATCTATCCGTCATGCGAGAGACACTAGGCACTCCGGACGCGGTATCCAACATCGCAGTCAACGAGCCCTTCTACTCCGCCATCTTCCACTACAGCGGACACGATCCCGAGGACCCCAGCACGAGCGATAATGCCCCCACCCAAAACCGAACCGCATACATGCTCACCTATGAATACGGCACGGACGCCGTCCCGCGCTGCGACGCACACCTGGCCGTGTACGGGGACGGCAAGACCGTGACGCTCGAATACGACGGCGCAACGGTGCGAGTGGTCATCGAGGCCGCGGACGAGACCGCCCCCGGGAAGGTATCGCGTCAGGAAACGTCGAGTTCCATGGAGCAGGCATATACGGCGGAATTGGAGGCGTTGTATAAGTTCCTCGTGGAGGGCAGGGAGGTCAAGACTACGGTGATGGACTCGATGGAAGATCTTAGGCTGTTTAGGAAGATTTTTGAACAGTATGATCGGCAGTGTGGGACTATTAGGACGCCGTTGGGGTAGATTTTCCGGTCTTTCACATCCTTTTGTTGGGGTTTGAGGGGAGAGGGGAAGAGGGTAATATGTATGTGTATGTGAATGTGGTTGAAGTTACTACCTACCTAGGATGATATGGGTTTACTTGAAAAGTGAGGAGACGGGACGGGACGAAGAACAGAAAGCCTCGTGATAAGTAATGTAATGCATTGCATATTCTAACCATGATCATAATGATGGATTTTCTTCCTTGTCTGACATTCAATATAAATGAAATCTGTACATGAACGAAGCCAGGAGTAGACAGATTCCACTACCGTTTGCCCTTCTTCTTGTTCTTCTTCGACGCTCCACCACCACTGCCGCCGCCTTGATTACGCTGCTGACTAGCCGACGCGTTAGCTTCCTCCGTCTTCTCAGTGACAGGACCGCCCTGGGTCCGTTCAGCGGCGCGCTGCTTGCCCTTCCGACCACGAGGACGGTAGGAGGATCGGTCGCGCAGAGGGAGCCAGCGCTCCGGGTCGGCCGTCTTGCTAGCATCGAAGTCCTTGGGGAGACGAGACTTGCGGACACGTTTGGTGACGCGGCCCTGGTGCTGCTTGTCGGCGGCCGAACGCTTCCGGGCGTTGGCGATAGTCGCGGCGGCGGCGGCGGCGGTCGCAGAGGACGGCGACACGCCGGCAGCTTCGAGGGCCGAGACGTCGATGTCTGAGACTAGGTCCGCGATCGCGGGGAGGCGGTCGACGTGCGACGCGACCTTGTTGTAATCCAGGGTGGCTTGGGAGGCGACGTAGCCGGCGGCAGCGAAGCGGTCGGACGAGTTCTTCTGCGCCAGGTCGTGGAAGATGTCGCTGGCGGTTGCGAGATCCGAGGCGTCCGAGGAGTAGAGGAGCGAGGAGGCGGCAGCGCGTAGGAGGGAGGAGGGCGCGTCGGCTTGGCTGCGCCAGTAGGCGGCGGCTTTGCCGAGCTCGGTGCGGATCTGTACCTTGCGGCCTTCGAGTTTATAGAGGGCGACGAGGACGCCGAGGACGCCGGGGTTGAAGCGCACTTCCTTGTCCTGGTCGGAGATCGACTCGTCGAGGAGGTACAGCGATTTCTCGAGGGTGGCGATGGCGGCGGTGGTGTTGCCCGTGCTGACGTAGAGTTGCGCGGCGGTTAGAACCAGGCCGATGTCCTTGGGACGGCGCTCCAGCGCGGGCAGGATGGCTTTGAGGGCCTTGGCGCCCGTTTGGCCGCGGGCGAGGGCGGCGGCGTTGAAGACCGAGAGGAGGTTGATGCTGGATTCGGTGGAGGGGTAGGGGGCTTGGGCGCGCGCTTTAGATGTCGATCGGATGATGCCGTCGTACTTGTGAACCAGGAGGTCGGCGGAGTTGAAGTTGCCGCTGATGATGTTGTTCTGGAAGTCGAAGAGTCGGTCGTTGCCGGTGGATTCTGGAGTCTCGTGCAACGCCTTGTAGAGGATGAAGGGGTTGGCGGCCGTGTCCCGGATGAGGGTGACGTTGTTTTCGGCGATCTTCTTGGTCGAGAGCTCGGGGATACTGTAGCGACATTAGATGATTGGAGAATAGGGGTGTGGCATGTACGCGAAAGGGAACATACTCTTTGACCGAGATTTCCTGCAGGACAGACTCGGCTTCCTCCGATTTCCCTTGACGGATCAGAACGTAGAGTTGCTGCACAGAGATCGGTAGCAATTCCGCATCTCTGTCCTCCGGCGTGAGGTCTTCTGAGGTCCGGCATAGCTCTGATAGATGGTTAGCGACCGTGGTCTCACATGCTCAGCGGAGACACAAACCCTTTGCCCGCTTCAAAAGCACTTCTCCTTGTCCAAACTCTCCCTTAGCGATGCTCAGACAGGCCGCATTGTAGGTCGTCTCGAAGGCCTCTAGGTCATCTCTCGTTGGGCGGTTGTGACGGACGGATTCGGGGTATCCCTTCCACTGCAATTGAGCGTCCGCAGCCCAGGCATTGATGCGGATATCGTTTTCCTCGTTGTCCAAGGCCGACTGGTCCTTGGTCAGGTCTTCGTAAACTTCGGCGGTACGGCGGAATTTCTCTGAACGATAGCTCTAACGGTCGGACTTGCATTAGCACGATACATGAAAGATAGGTATATTATTGGGAACCGTCACATACAGCTTGAGCCTCCAAGTGACGAGCACCCCGGCTGTTGGTGATCTTCGAGACGATCTCGATCGAGGCATCCAGCTGTCCAGTCTTGTACAGAGCGTAGGCGTATTCCAGAGCCGCTTGCTTCTTCAGAGCATCGCCCCCCTCTTCAAACACTCGGATACAATCGTCGTAGCGGTCGAGCTTCACCAAAGCCACCACCTTGGCATGTTGAGCCTGAACGTCCGACTTGGACTTTGCCAGAGCGGCATTGGCAGACTGGAGGAGTTCTTCGTGATCGTCGATGGAGGCGTGCTGCAGCAACGAGCTCAAATTCTGCGTCGCCATGGTGGAGGACAGTCGGGAACAACGGATCTGCGAGGGGCAAACGGTGCGATCTCCTCGACTCGATGGTGAGCTGGCTGGACTTCGGTGGACTTGTGGGAATGGTGATATTTCCCCATTGGGGAATTTTGCACAGTTGGTCAAAGGGAGTCCCGTACACTGCCTCTCCTGACCGCCTACCGAATGGATGCCGCACCGGACAAACCATACGGAGCATTCAGGGAGGCGAGTTGGATCTGCAGATACGGGGAGTTATCGGTGGTCCAGTGCCCCGAGAGCTGACGTTGTCTCCATGGAGTAAACCCTGGAGAGACTATTTAGTCTTTATTCCGGGGTCGTCTCGAGGCAATTACAAATTCTTCCTGGACCCTTCTGCTTCATGTCCAGTAAGCGGTAATGGGCGGCAGTATCTGGCTGATCAGGGATTATCTACCATTTTTATTGATGTGGCTGACGGGATGATCGGAATGGATAAGATTTATGAATCGGGAAGTTATGTTTTATGTACAGTACAGTCTACGCCGTATACTCAGTATGCAGTTAGATTGCTGATGGGGCCGTTCAAGATAGTGCATATCTCGTGAGAGATTGCCCCGTACGGACATTGCCAGTTCGGCTTAGCCACAGCAGTAGTCGGCGGTGGCTGCTTGGCCTCCGGGGCCATCTTGGCCAGAGTGTCGGCACCGGCCGATAATATCGCAGTGATCCCTTGGGGAATGTTGGGCGAGGTGGAGGGTAAGACCGCCCCTGAACAGGCGGACAGACATCTATCCGGGGAGCGGAGAGAAAGCGAGATGGTTATCGAGTCTAGACGTCCGTTCGCGGCGGACAGTCAAGGGGGGTGACATGAGGGTTGAGACCTTGCTGCAAGTGCAACCCCCTAGATTGGGCCCTTGGGGCTATCTTTAGCATCGTCGGTTTTGGACGACTCACTTGGTGACTTTGGGGCTTGTTGGGGGAGGTCGAGAAGCATCCATTGATACCAGTGGTCAAACCACGAAAGGAGCAGAACAGTGAACTGATCTGTACGAGAACTCTGAAGATATACCCAGTAGGGGCTGAAGTTATGTAGCCTCAAGGTTGTATAGTAGGGAGTACCGAGTGGAAAAGACCCTGAAGCGAAGAGTGGATGGCATAACTACGGCTGACTAAGATGCCACCGCTTTGTTCTTCTGCTCTTCTTCTCTTTCTTCGCTTTCTTGTCCTTTGTTTCTTTGATGCTTGAAACCTCAAGGCACTCTATTTATGTCCATGTGCAAGACATGCATCGACATACTGCGTACGCCGTACATCGATTATCTGATGATGCCTCCGTATGGTCTCCATCAGACATCGGTCACTCAAGGGCAAACCGCTAGTCCCTAGCCCACACTAATAACCGCCAAGTGCCTCGCCTGCGACCGTCGTCATCATCCCGTGTGGCCCCCGCCGACCAGCGATCGCCTCCGTGGAATGTCGTCCGCGCGTCTTGGATGGATGTCTCGGCATTCCCTCTACGGCGTCGTGGCTCGACTCTGATTCGATTCATCCTCCCCCCAAACCACCTGCATGCGGTGCCAATGTCGTCCCGGATGCGATGGGTAGGGCTGGTGCAAACGGCCACCACCCACACGCCGTGACACTCACACCACGCAGAAAACCCCCTGCGGACGACAGCCAGTCAATAATTCGCAGGAACCCCTAAATAGATCATCTTATTCTCCTATTCTTGGTCCGGCTCCACACAGCCGATCTTACCCCTGTGTGTAAAACTGTCGTTGGTCTGGCTTAGTTGCATGCTGTCGGAATAGCAGGTGCGGTCCTCTCCCAGGACGCCCTCTCATTCGGTGCTCATCTCCATCTTCTCCTCCAGAGGGCCCAGAAAATCCTGTCCCATGGTCGATCCTTAGCTCCTCTCCGCCTGCTTTGTCGTCAGTTTTCTTCTGTTCTGCCCGCCAGAAATCCGGAATTCAGAGTGCTGGCTTTACCCAGCCATGGTTCTGGGTCCCTTTTGATCGCCTGTCTTTCTTTTTCCTTTGGTCCAACCACTGACATTATCTACTCCTCGTTTGCCATATCGATCATCGCTTGATTTTATTTTATTTAATTTTTGGGGTGTTATTATTCCCCTCCCCTTTGCCGTCCGCCGCCGCCATCCCGATTCCGTACTTTCCCTCACAACTTTCGGTTTCAAGGGTCCCGATTTTCTTTTTTAGTCCTCTTTTTTCTCTCACGCCTCGCCCGTCCTGGCCCTTCCTCTTTCCACTTCTACACTTTTTCTCTACTTTACTTCCTCTCTTACTCGTACCCTCAACCTCCACCGTCATACCTGATTTCTCCCTCTGCTTCTCTTCCCACCGCTTTCTGGGCCGCACTACTTGCTCATCCTTTCCCCGCCGTCCTACACGGGGGACCGATGTGCATATGATCTTCTAGTCTCTTGGCTCATACCTGTTCTCTCTCTCTTTCCTATACAGAATACATCCCTCCGCCTCCGATGTACTTGAAAGGGGAGAAACCCCGACCCAGAGGGGCGTCGTGGGTATGGAAGAAGAAATTGATGCGTTTTGTCGTTGCCATCTGCTTGGTCGGTGGCTTTACATTCCTGCTGTGGCCTCACCTCGGCAGGGAGCAGGTGGTGATGCAAGATCCGGTTTCCAACATCACTGTTACCTCGGGCGTTCATTGTGAGCCCGACTTCGATCTCCTCCGTCGTCTCGATATCAAAAAACTCTCCGGCTACACGAAGCGCGAGATCGTGGCTACGCCGACCTCCGAAACGTTACCGATCAGACAACGTCTCGATACACCTTTGTTTGAACCAATCGAGAGCCCCAATCCAGTCTCGACTCCGCAATCGCAGGACGGTTGCTTGATCCCGCAGCCGGTCTCTTTACGGGTTCCCAAGCCTCCCGTTAAGGTGGACGCCTCTCATATTGACTTTGGTGTGGCGACGACGCTGGGTCGGTTGAACGACTCGATTGACGCATTTTCCCACTGGGCTGGCTACACTCAAACTCGCATCTTCGCTCTCATCGAGTCAGATAAAAAGGAGCGGATCAAGGAGGTCCAGATGAAGGCAGATGCGATGGGGATCAATTTGTTTGTGACGGAATCAAATGAAGAATATCAACGTCGGTACTTCTCATTGGTCTCCCATCTTGCACAGAATGCGCAGCGGAAGACACAATGGTCCTGCGTGATTGATGACGATACTTTTTTCTTATCGATGACGGAACTGGTGAAGGCGCTCGGCGAGTACGATGCACGTCAGCCCATGTACGTCGGTGGCCTGTCGGAGAGTATCCCGCAGGTGGGCAACTTTGGTCTGATGGGATTTGGAGGCGCCGGCGTCTTCATGTCTCGGCCTCTTATTCAACAAATCAGCGAGCCGGTCATATACAATGACTGCATCAACACTCCCCATACCGGCGACCGGAAAATTTCCCTGTGCATCTACCAAAACACTCCGACGCGGCTGACCATCAATCACCGCCTACACCAGCTCGACATGACAGACGACGTGTCCGGATTCTTCGAGGCGATGCGCCCGCCCCCTCTCTCTGTCCACCACTGGAAGTCGTGGTTCCATGCCGACATGGCCAAGCTTAGCGTGATCAGCGAGCTATGCGGCGATGACTGTCTTCTGCGACAGTTTGAATTTGGAGACGGATGGATTTTGACCAACGGTTTCTCCGTGATGAAATACAGCATGGAAATCGATCCTAGCGACCCTTCCATGGAGCTCACCTGGGGTGGTCCTGTCGAACAGTACCTTCACGAGCTTGGACCGTTGCGCCTCAAGGACAATGATAAGTTCAGTTATTCGATGGTCGACTCTGTACTAGACGGAGGCACGGTACGACAATATTATGTCCACCGTGACGCCGAGAAGGGCGATCAGCTCCTAGAATTGATCTGGCGAGCTTGAGCGAGGAATGTGCTGTTTCCCGCGTCTAACCCAATTTCCGGGTGGTCTGCTTATTTTCCTTCCATCCACACCGCCTCTACATACCCACACCTTTCACGCCTTCTCATCTCCCATCCAAGGAATTGGTCGACAGCAGACTCGACGTCCTCCGGGAAGATCGCATATACATCAAATTCTGCCTTTGCCTATAGATGGAAAGAGATCCCGCTCTCTTCGAAACACCTTACGCGGTCTAATTGTCATGGCGTATAGATTATGGTTTGGCTTTTTCTTACTTCATTTGAAAAGCTCTGATGATTTTTCTTTGGTGCAATGTCAACCATCGATGGATTAGAAATCATGTTCGGGGACATCCGCACCTTTTACCCGAGCGCTTTCATGTGCCCCAGCAACGGTTTCTGGGTGCCTTGTACAGTGAAACACTCGGTGATTATTTTGCTTTTGGATGCAATACACAAGAGCAAAACAAATTGATTGATTATACTTTCTTTTTGGACGCTTCTGGTTATTATTTTCGGTTTGATCTGGAATCAGTTGGTTAACATAGTGTTTTTTTTTTCTTTCTTTTGGTATCATGTACAGTAAATACCCTTCAGTCAAATTCTATTCAATTATATCATCATTGCATGCATTGAACAAGAGTAGCTGGCTATATATGTAGACCCCATCCATTATTCATGCATGTTTCTCATATATACAGATTGCAAAAGCTGAGAGGTATGTATGTACTAAACTCGAGCAAAAGGGAAATTCATAAACGTAAACACCACATCGCATCACAATGCGAGTATCTAGAGATACGCAGTAATCCGTACGATGAGCCCGTTACCATGCAAAACCACTCCACACTTCACCCAGCCAACAAATGAACAAAATGACATCATCTTGCATATCCAGCCACTGACTGACGCTGACAGCCCCAGCGCTCAGACAAAACCCAGCCCAGCCCAGCCCAGCCAAATTGACTCGAGCCGAGTCAGTCCAGTCACTAGTCTGTTGGACAGCAGGGCAGGCTAAGTGAATAAACTCGCTCGTCGAAATGTCATCTCTGCAGGGATCGACGATGACGACATTATCTGAGACACCGACGGGTCCACTGGAATTGCCGAGCGTTGCCCCTCCTCTACCGAGTCTTCTTCTGCTTCGTCTTCGGAGATGATGCGTGGCTCGCGGAGGTCGTCCGCTAAGGGGACGTCCCAGCCTGTGTCGGTGGTTGGCCACCGGACTGGGGGGGGGTCTTCGGTTGAGGATGTAGAGGTGGTGGAGGATGAGGAGGAAGAAGAAGAAGAAGAAGGGAGAGAGGAGGAAGAGTTGGTTGTGGTGGATGCCGGAGGAGGAGGAGGGGCAGTAACGACCGTGGTGGGTCCAGCGGTGTCTGTGATTGCGGGAGGGAGGAGATTGAGATTGAGATTGACGTTGACGTTGAGATTATTGCTACTGATAGCGGAAGAAAGTGGAAACTCGAAGCCCAGGATACCCTTGCATCGCTGCAGGAGGGTAGGGAAGAGGTAGGATTCGGAGCCCCGGATGCGCGCGAGAGTGTTGAGAATGCCCCAGAGGAGATCGCGCGGGTCGACGGCGGATTCGGCCAGGCGTTGTGCGGCTTTGGTGTTGAGGGAGCGGGAGACGTCCGCGACGGAGGTGCCGAGGTCGAAGAGTTTTTGTTCCTGGAGAGGTGTTAATTGATCGTTTTTGGATTTTGAGGATTTTTCTTGTCTTTCTCTTTTTATTCTTTGTTTCGAATTTTAGGGTAGGCAAGATTATGCTTACCATTCCAATGCCGTGCGCATCCACGGCGCCTTGCGATGCGGCGCTGATGACGCCCATCACAGCCTTCCCGACTAGCACGGGTAGATGAAATGGGAGGACCGTTTCGTCGCGAGAGCCGGGCTGCGTAGCGCGTGTCATAGATAGTTTCCACATCATGGCTTGCAGCCATTGCTGCGTGATGAGAATATCGACTTTCTGGATCTCCGAGACGCCATCGAGAGAGACGGATTTGCACAGGCTGGATTGGATGGAGGAGGTCGGGGGCATTTCGAAGATGCCGTCGCCGCCCCCGGCGGAAACCCAGTCGTATAGGTTCACGGTGAGTTTTTCGAAGATGCTGATGAGGTTGATGAAGCCGTAGGCGAGGATGGGGTCGTTGGAAGAGAGAACTTGGGGTTTGTGGATGGAATTGCGCAACATGACGGGCTTTGCTTGTTGCAAGGCATAGCCGCTGGAAGGTTCATTGGGTTAGAATATTGGTTGCCGTGGATGAGGGGGCTCTAATATCAAGGCTTACCGTTCCGTCACGAAGAGCAGCCAAAAGATGCGTCGTTTTTCTGCGGCATCTTCTGTGCTCATCTCGGAGTACGTGGATTCGCGATGGAGACCTAGCGTGAAAACCATAGAGGTCGCCTGGCAGAGGTAGAACCAGGCGTGGTCCTGTTTGTCCAGATTGCCGTATGCCGCAAAGAGAAAGAAGGACGTAAGCAGGCCCTCGATGCTCATTTCCTCAACCAAGTCGCAGTCTTTCCGCGCGCGCACGGCTTCGGCGAGTAATTCCTCCCCGGACATGATCGAATGACTGTCGACATTGGCCTGTAGATGCGGAGGATTGGACGCTGACATGGCACCGTCAAGTTTAAGTTGAATGTGAGTTACTGCACAGAGCGAGGCTAGAAATGCATATCGTTGGGAAGACAACTGCTCGGGCTGGTGGCAATCCTGCTGCAGCCGTTCCCGCCGCACAACCGGCATGATTGGAAATAGATACTTCAAGAACACGTTGACGTGGGCCAGCAGGATCGGTGCCGACAGACGACGCGCCGACGAGAACATGGCAGCTATCAGGGAGTCTGACAGCGAGTTTGTCGAGTCGGGGGAGGAGACTAATTCTGGGGGTGGCAGCCCCATGCTCGAGTCCGACAGCTCCGCCGGAATACATTGGGCGTCGGATACCGTGAACTGCGGCGAAGTCGGTGACCCCGGCCCCGGTACTGCATATACCCCAGACTCAGAGGGCCACTCCGTATCGAGTGGATGCTTTTGCGGAATACAGCGGAGGTCATCTCGGCGGCGCGACACTAGGGGATGGATAGGCGCCAGAGGATAGAGCGTGCGGAATTTGGGACCTTTTCGGCGCAGCACATCACTGTAGGAACAGGAGAGAAGCAGACGCTGGCATTTGTCGCAAGGTAACTCTCGTGAACATTTGATCTTGCGGCGACGACAGTTGTCGCAGGCCTGCTTGAAAGATTTCCGGCTCGGAGATGGCTGAGAGTCCATTGGCGAAGTGGACTCCGGGGAAGGAATTCGAAGTGGGTCAGAGATTCAGGACAGGGGAAGAGGATGCAGGATTCGACACACTCCATAACCGAGGGAGAAACTTTTGATCGTAAGCGACAGGCCATTCCCATTGACGAGAGATGTGTACAAATCTGAAGAAAAAAAAAAGGGACGGGAAGGAAGGAAATCCGGGGAAGTCGGCGGGGAGGATGCCTGGAGTTGCAGGCCGCCAGAGCCCCCGCGTTGGCTGTCCAGATCGGGCTTAGCGTGCGGCCGGTGGATCTTTGGCGGCTTCACTTTCCCTCCTTCGTTTCTCGGGTTTCGTTCGTTTCTCGGGTTTCCACTCTTGCTGGTCTGTTTCTTGTGAGGACCAGGTCGACCACGGCGTCATTGTGCTCGGATTCAAGTATAACTACTCTTCTCCAAGGGAAACAATGACCGTCAGGGCAGCGTTCGTCCCAGATGGATGCGGCATTTTCCAGATCTCTACCCCTGCATGACCGTGCCAACACGAGGCAAATTGCTTGACAGGTGTGCAAATCTCGGGTCAGCCCACGCTGGGGTGATTGGTGCATGGACTCCTCCTTGGTCCTCGCAATATTAACTTCGGGAAGCCGATATTATCAAGGTAGTAGATGGGTCGAAGGTGGTGAAACCGAGACATGGGGGACCGGGTCCAATAGTATGGGCGCCCGCACTAAAGGATAGATCCAAGGTCGGGACTGAATATCTGCGGTGGCTGTGGGCATTTGAGTTGAACTGTTCAGGGGTTTCCAGTTTGCTTCTCCAGTTTCTCCACAGTCTGCATGCATTTTGAGTCTTTGGGACACAAGACGAATCTCACCGAGAAATTGTTCCGGCAAGGCGGTGGTGGTGACCTGAGTGCCTGACGGTGTGTCTGCCTCAGGCCAACAGCCAATCGGGAATTTGTCGGACGACTAACCAATCACATCAGGTGATCGGCGGATGGACAGGCACTGCTGCTCCCTCCCAGAGGTACTCTGGGCCCTGCTCTTCTCCTCTCCAGATCCTGGTCGACAATCCCTGTCGGCCTCTACTGGCATCTTTCGCTTACAATGCTGGATTGACTTCCCCACTCGGCCCGACATCATCGACGCTCGTTGGTGTCTCCCCTCCTGGGTCCATCCCTTGCTTCCGGGAATTCAACGGAGCAATCGAGCCTCTTCTTGCCTCTAAGGCGGGATCGTGGCACAAATCGAGTCTTCTCACTTAATGACCCCTCACAGTACTTCCTCGGAGAACCGGCTGGCAAGCTCATATAAAGCACGGGTGATGCGAGAGGGTAGCGGCTCTTTCTTTTGAACCAACCACGGAGCCGTCGGCTAGCTAGTAGTTGTCCTTCTCTTACCCTTTCGCCATGGTCCATTTCACGGCCCTCTTGGCCAGTGCCTGGCTGTTCCCGGTGGCGTATGGGGCGAGTCACTCGCTGGCCTCGAGCACCACGCCTCTGCGTTCCCAGTTTACGATTCCGGCCTCGGCCGACGTGGGTGCGCAGTTGATCGCCAACGTAGACGACCCCCAAGCTGTCAATGCACAGTCCGTCTGCCCTGGCTACAAGGCATTCAATGTGAAACACACCGGGGATGGGTTCTCGGCAGACCTGGAACTGGCCGGGAAACCATGCAATGCGTATGGGACGGATGTCGGTTCGTTGTCCTTGACGGTGGAGTACCAGGCAAAGGACCGCCTGAACATCCAGATTGTCCCGTCGCATGTCGACTCCTCGAATGCTTCCTGGTACCACCTGTCCGAAGACACGGTTCCCAGGCCCAAGGTTTCCCCGAATGCCTCGATTCCCCAAAGTGACCTTTTTGTCTCGTGGTCCAACGAGCCCTCGTTCAATTTCAAGGTGATCCGCAAAGCCACCGGCGAAGCCCTGTTCGACACCGAAGGGTCAGTGCTGGTGTACGAGGATCAGTTTATCGAATTCGTGACCTCGTTGCCCGAGGACTACAATTTGTATGGGCTCGGCGAGCGGATGAGCCAGCTTCGGCTCCTGAAGAACGCCAATCTAACCATGTATGCGGCGGATATTGCGGACCCGATCGACAGGTATGTTTCCCGCTGTTGCCATCCCGGCCGTAGCTCACAGGATGCAGCAACATCTATGGTCAACACCCGTTCTATTTGGACACGAGATATTACAAGGCCAATGAGCAATATGGCCCGCACTCTCGGGCGCGGACCAGCGAGATTGACCCGTCGCAAGAATACGTATCCTATTCCCATGGTGTATTCTTCAGGAACGCTCATGGACAGGAGGTTCTACTGCGGTCTGAGAAGCTGATCTGGCGGACATTGGGTGGCAGTATTGATCTGACCTTCTATGCCGGCCCAACGCAGGCGGATGTGACCAAGCAGTACCAGATTAGCACGGTTGGTTTACCAGCGATGCAGCAGTACAACACTCTCGGTTTCCACCAGTGTCGCTGGGGCTACAACAACTGGACAGAGTTTGAGGAGGTTGTTGCCAATTTCGAAAAATTCGAGATTCCCTTGGAATACGTCTGGTAGGTGCTGGATTGTCGGATTTGGGTTTGGACTTTTCTAACTTACTTAGGGCGGACATTGATTACATGCATGGGTATCGGAATTTTGATAACGACAAACATCGCTTTTCTTACGAAGACGGCGAGAAGTTCCTGAGCAAACTGCACGATGGAGGACGCCGCTGGGTGCCGATCGTCGATGCGGCGCTTTATATTCCGAACCCGGAAAACGCATCAGACGCGTGAGTGCCTTCTTCCCTTGACAAGATTGTTTACTCATAGCTGTCAAGATATGAAACGTACACCCGAGGAGATGCCGACGATGTCTTCCTCAAGAACCCCGATGGCAGTCTCTACATCGGAGCCGTCTGGCCTGGGTACACGGTCTACCCCGATTGGCATCATCCCAAGGCCGTCGAGTTCTGGGCCAACGAACTGTTGGTCTGGTGGAAGAAACTAGCCTATGATGGCGTCTGGTACGATATGGCCGAGGTGTCTTCTTTCTGCGTGGGAAGTTGCGGCACTGGGAATCTGACTCTGAATCCCGCCCATCCCCCTTTCTCGCTACCAGGTGAGCCTGGGAACGTGGTCTTTGATTATCCTGAAGGCTTCAATATCACGAATGCGACGGAGGCTGCGTCAGCATCTGCCGGTGCGTCCAGCCAGGCCGCTGCAGGGGGATCTGGGTCCTCGCCCACCAAAACATCGTATCTGCGAACAACCCCCACTGCGGGTGTCCGCGACGTCGACCACCCTCCCTACGTGATCAATCATGTCCAAACCGAGCACGATCTCGCGGTCCACGCTGTATCTCCCAACGCAACCCACGCGGATGGCGTTGAGGAATATGACGTGCATAGTCTTTACGGCCACCAGGGCTTGAATGCCACCTACCAGGGCCTGCTCAAGGTCTGGTCGGAAAAACGTCCCTTCATCATTGGTCGATCCACCTTTGCCGGTTCAGGGAAGTGGGCCGGACACTGGGGCGGCGACAACTTCTCCAAATGGGGATCTATGTACTTTTCCATCTCACAGGCTCTTTCTTTCTCTCTGTTCGGCATCCCCATGTTCGGGGTAGACACCTGCGGGTTCAACGGGAATAGCGCCGAGGAGCTCTGCAACCGCTGGATGCAGCTGTCCGCCTTCTTCCCCTTCTACCGCAACCACAACGTGCTATCCGCCATCCCCCAGGAGCCATACCGCTGGGCCTCGGTGATCGACGCCTCCAAAGCGGCCATGAAGATCCGGTACTCGATCCTGCCCTACTTCTACACGCTGTTCCATCTCGCTCACACCACCGGATCGACGGTCATGCGGGCCCTGGCCTGGGAGTTCCCGCACGACCCTAGCCTCGCCGCCATCGACACGCAGTTCCTCGTCGGCCCCTCCGTCATGGTCGTCCCCGTCCTGGAGCCGCATGTCGACTCGGTCAAGGGCGTGTTCCCGGGCGTCGGACACGGCGAGGTCTGGTACGACTGGTACACGCAGCGGGCCGTGGACGCGCAACCCGGCGTCAACACCACCATCCCGGCGCCGTTGGGCCACATCCCCGTTTTCATCCGCGGCGGCAGCGTCCTGCCCATGCAGGAGCCCGCTCTGACGACCCGGGACGCGCGCCAAACGCCCTGGTCTCTCCTGGCGTCGCTGGGCACCAAGGGCACCGCGTCGGGCCAGCTGTACCTGGACGACGGCGAGAGCATTCATCCAGCGGACACGCTCTCGGTGGACTTTGTAGCTACTCGATCTAGCCTTCGGGCGTCGGCACGAGGGACGTGGACCGAGAAGAACGCGCTCGCCAATGTGACTGTTCTCGGTGTGCAGGAGAAGCCGGGCGATGTCAGCTTCAATGGAGAGAAGATCGCGGCGGAGTCGGTTCGGTATAATGCCAACTCGAAGGCTCTGCATGTGGGAGGACTACAGAAGTTGACTGCGAAGGGGGCATGGAGCAGAGATTGGGTTCTGGAGTGGTGAACATAATGATTCTCTGATACATTCTGATTACTGACTAGTATGATACTTATTCATTCTGATTCATAAATGAAATGCGTCAAATCCTGCATGTAGAACCCCAGCCTCCGCGACACTGAATAACCGGCATACAAACAAACCCCATCCTGTCCCTCGATATCAAATTCCCCTCCAAACGTCATTAACCCTCCCCACCGCACACCCCTCCACGCCTCCCCTCCCATCCCTAACAACCCCCCTTCGATTCTCCCCCTCTTCCCAAACAACACCCCCCGTGCCCTCCTCCCCGCGTCTAAAGAACTTATATTCGTACTCCACTCCCCCAAGTAATCCTTCTTCCACAATAATATACCACAGCGGTACATCGCCGCTGTACTCGTCCGCGCGCATCTCCAGCGCCTTATCCACTGCCCAGGAGCCCAGGGCGGGGAGCGAGCCGGCTAGGTAGATGTATTCTCCGAGGTATGTGGGAGCGAGGATGTTGAATCTTATTGCTATGGGCTGGGGAGTGGGATCGAGGGTTGGGCTTTTGCAGGACGGAGGGGAAGGGAAGGGGATTGTTTGGTTTACAGGCGGGTTGGTATATGGACCTGGTGCGGAAGATGGGAGACATGTTGATGGAATGGAGGGAGTTGGATTTGGGGATAGAGTTGGGGATAGAGCTGCGGATGAGGATGAGGATGCGTCTTGACGGGCTCGTGTGGCTGTTAATAAGGCGGCGTAGGACCAGGTCAGGTCGCGTGCTGAGATTGGGAGGCCGTCGTGACGGGAGAATTGTTCGGAGAGGGCGCCGTTGGGGGGTGTATATTTTTGCTAGCCGAGGTTAGTTTTGGTTGTTTTTATTCTTCCGTGAGGAGTCGGATAAGGAGGAGGAGGAGGAGGAGGAGGAGGATAGTAGCCGGAATACATAGAGGATAGAGGAAGGAAAACATACCACAATCCGCAAATATTCATCCGCATAGTGCATCACCGCGCGTAGTATCCCCTCATACACACTTCCAACTTCATCTCCTCGGCGATACACATCAACCTTAATGCCGGCGTCATACACATCACGAAAGAACCCCAAACTCACATCCGTCACTGTCACCTCCCCGAACCTCTTCCACTGCCCAACAGCCCGATACAGATGCTCCGCTGCAGCCAGCGTAGTCAAATACCACGGCTGCCCACCCATATACACATCTTCCGGGTAGCGGCCCAACGCGATCGGTTGGTTCACGGGAATCTTCCAATTAATCGGATACAGATGACGAAACGCATCTGCGACGGCCTTATGGTTAGCGAGGGCGCGCGGCGAACAAGGCTGGAAGGTGAGGTCAGAGCAGTCGGGCGCGAGTGGGTCGAAAGTGTGGATGGTTGCGAGGATGGAATTGACGTCTTTGCCGGACCGGAAGGGGGCGTTATGGTTGGTGATGATGTGTGAGTTGTCTGGGGACCAGAAGGATTGCAGAAAGCAGAGAGTTTGAGGCGCTTGGGAGACACAGTTGGGACAACTGGTGTTGAGGCGGGTGGCAAGGGTAGAGCCTAGGATGAGAGAGGAGTATTGGACGGAGGTGGTGAAGAAGGAGGAGCCGAGGGTTTCTTCCCAGAGATCTAATGAAGAGGATTAATTGGGGATAGAGAAAATGGAGAAGAAGATGAGGGAATACCAAAGGTGGTGGAGTTCCAATACTCGGAGACGTAGGAGAGATCGTTGCGGATGATGGGCCAGATGGTCTCCGCGACAGAGGTGTGGTTATGACCCTGAATGTTTCGTCAGTCATACTATTCCCTCATGAAGTCTCTTTGACAAAAGAAGGCCATACAATCAGCCAATTTGCATAGGTGATGAGAGTCACTGCCCGCAGCGCAGGGCCGTCTCTCTGCGGTCGTCCCCAATCGCCCGTAAAGGCCGATCCGTCGACATGGAACTTGGGCTCGCCGAGACCTCCTGAGTCCAGACGACCAGACGGATTGGAGACAGACTGCAGCCGGGCCTGAAAAGAGACGTATTGCTGAACGGCCGCGTGGACTGTCGCATCGTCCGTCGCGATGGCGATGTCGATGAGACAGCGAACCGTCAGAGCGGCATCGCGCGTCCACGTATAGAAGTCTAGACATGTCAATGATAATCCCAAGCCGAGGGCACGGGGAGACGCACAGTCCGGATTTGCCTTGCTGGGACTCGCCACGACGGAGCCCGGGCTTGCTCCGATAGATTTGGCCCCATCGGCCCCGAGATTATTCAGGACGCCGTCCAGAGCGTAGGGAATTTGGCGCGCCAGCCACGAGTCCAACGGTTCGGTGGCGGCCGCAAGGGGCACCTGGGCGGGGAATGACGAGGCATTGACCTGCCCTAGCCTAAGAAGCATAGATAGGGATAGTAGGACGAGCAGCATCGTCGCCATGACCGTTTTGAACACGGACAATGCCGAAGAGGGGCGATGGAAGGATGCCGAGAGAAGCTGAATGTCGATCAGCGACCAGGGGCGGGAATTCGCAGGAGATTAATCGCGCCCAGGGCGAATCACGTTGGACGTCACGTTGCATCGACTCGCATGTGAGCTGTTATATAAATACGCCGCGTCGTAGCTACTCCATCCTCTTCAACATCCTGTTTACGTTCTATCGACCAAGATGAAGTGGTCGGTTCTTAGTTTGCTGGCCTCAACGGCTCTGGCGGCCACTCCGGCGCAATGGCGCTCGCAGTCCATCTACTTCCTCTTGACCGATCGCTTTGCCCGCGACGATGGCTCGACTACGGCTACCTGTAATACCGAGGACAGGGTGTGTATCCGCTGGATGGCAAGTGAACGGAGCTGACTCGAAGATGATCTAGAAATACTGTGGTGGTACCTGGCAGGGCATCATCGACCAGCTAGACTATATCCAGGGCATGGGCTTCACGGCAATCTGGATCACTCCGGTGACAGGCCAGCTGACCGAGGATACCGAGTACGGCGAGGCCTATCATGGTTACTGGCAGCAGGATATGTATGCCCCCTGTTCTTCGCTTCAATATCAAGAAACACGCTAACTGCGCGCATAGATACTCGCTCAACGAGAACTACGGCACCGCCGACGACCTCAAGGCGCTGGCCGACGCTCTGCACGATCGCGACATGTATCTCATGGTCGATGTAGTGGCGAACCACATGGTTTGTCTCTCTTATCTTCATCGATGTATATAGTCGTTAACTGGAAAGTAGGGCTACGACGGTGCCGGAGACTCGGTCGACTACAGTGTCTTCAGCCCCTTCAACTCCCAGGACTACTTCCATTCCTTCTGTCTGATCCAAGACTACAACGATCAGACACAGTCGGAGGACTGCTGGCTGGGCGACAACTCCGTCTCCCTGCCGGATCTCGATACCACCAAGTCCGAAGTCCAGGATATCTGGTACGACTGGGTGGGAGGTCTTGTATCCAACTACTCCAGTGAGGACCTTCCCCGAGCCTTCTGAGAACCCAGATATTAACCATAGCTAGTCGATGGCCTACGAATAGACACCGTCAAGCACGTCCAGAAAGACTTCTGGCCCGGCTACAACGACGCCGCCGGCGTATACTGCATCGGAGAGATCCTCGACGGAGACGCCTCCTACACCTGCCCTTACCAGGAGGTAATCGACGGCGTACTCAACTACCCGATCTACTATCCGCTCCTGAACGCCTTCAAGTCCACCAGCGGCAGCATCAGCGACCTCTACAACATGATCAACACGGTGAAGTCCGACTGTCCCGATTCCACCCTTATGGGCACCTTCATTGAGAACCACGACAACCCCCGATTCGCATCCTACACCGACGACATCGCGCTGGCTAAGAACGTCGCCGCGTTCACTATCCTGGCAGACGGGCTCCCGATCATCTATGCCGGCCAAGAACAGCATTATGCTGGCGGCGAAGACCCCGCGAACCGCGAGGCGACTTGGCTAGGCAAGTATAATACAGACAGCGAGCTGTATAAGCTGATTGCAGCTTCGAATGCCATCCGTAACCATGCGATCAGCACGGATAAGGAATATGTGAACTACAAGGTATGCGTGGCTACTTGCAGACTGCGTGGAACCAAGCTAATCAAGTAAAGAATAACCCCATCTACAAAGACGACTCCACCATCGCCATGCGCAAGGGCTTCGACGGCGCGCAGATCATCACCATCCTGTCGAACCAAGGCTCCTCCGGGTCCTCGTATACCTTGTCGCTTGACGGCACTGGTTTCTCGTCCGGAGACAAGGTCACTGAGATCTACACCTGCACTGCCCTGACGGTGGATTCGGATGGAAAGGTCCCCGTGCCGATGGATGGGGGATCGCCGCGCGCGTTGTTCCCGACTGAGAAGTTGAGCGGAAGTAGCTTGTGTAGTGGATCGGAATGAATGCGATATTGATGATGATGAATGTATAGTAGAGAAACATAGTACACACATAGGTATTTGATTTTCTAGGTAGAGCAATAGCTTTCTCTTTCCAGCTTTATACCTATCTCTTAATTACCGCTTTTCACTTATTTAACAGGCCTAACTATACCCTCAATATACACTAGGTGGCCTAAAATAACTACCAAATATAAGCTAAAGAATACATCAAGTGTCTGTTAAGGTGTTTCCTATATTATTAACAATCAAAACAGAGAGAAGGAAGATGGAATTTTCTCGAGAAAAGCTAGAGTGCTTCATCGGGTTCGAGGCGCGTTTCCAAGAAATCGAATATAACTTGATGCACGCGAAAGAAGGCCCCTTGGTAGCAATGCGTGTCTCCACCTTCCCCTGCTCGAAGACTGACAAGTTCGTGCTCACAGCGCAAATTTCTTCGAAGCAACTCCGGCTGGCCTTTGAGAAAGTGGTCGTTTTCTGCGTCAATAATAAGGCACGGCGTCTCGATCTTGTGACTTATTCCCTCCAGAGTATATTCGCTGACTGCACGACTAAGGTCTGCAGCAGACTCCACGTTGAAAGTCCATTTGCCGTTCCGCAAAGCCCACCGGATCCCCGTTGAAAAGTATTGCACCCATTCAAATAGCAGATTACATACCGTGTCGTATTTTCGCTCCACCAAGCTCTGGACAAATGATGGCTGTGGGGCTCGAAATGCAGAGCCAAAATCGTACACACCGCCATCGAGAACGATAGCTCGGGCCCGATGTTCCTGCGTAGACCCTCGTGCCACCAAATATCCCCCCATGCTCCATCCGAAGAGGACTATAGCATTGGCGTTGATTTCCACGCGAGATAGAGCATAGTCAACAACCGAACTGAGCAAATTCTCCCAGTCGAGTCGAAAATACAGATGTTGTTTTCGGATAGCGGCGGCTTGCCCGGGACCATCGAAGGCGAGGAAGCTATAGCCCCTGGCCAGAGCCGCTGCTCCAATCGCAAACACCATCCTTCACTCATAGCTGAGTCAAAGCCGCCGTTGAAAAAGATGGTACGTCGTGGCTTGTTCGTCTTGTCCGGTCGAACAAAATGGCCTGGTAAGGATGTCCCGTCGTAGGGAATGCTGATCGATTCGTAGCAAAATCCAGACAGCTCCATCGCCTCGGAAAATGCCGCCTCAGAGCTTTCATATAGCATCTGTGATATTTTGTCTTTGTCGACATTTTCTCGGCGAGAGAATTCGGCGGTGCGGAAATAATTCGACGCACGAAGGTATCCATGGTAGGCACTTTCTTTATTCTTCATCCTCCTCGAGTGCTCTACGTTGGAGGATGCTCGTTCCGCATCTTTCTACCATTCGCGGACCCAGTCATCTTCATTTCCAGGCTGGATTTTGGAACAGATAGCTATGACTTCTCCTAGGTCTGCGCCACCATAATTGCTATAGCCAGCAGCTCGGAGAGCCTCATAGCTGAAGGACTCGTTCGACTTGAAAAAATAATGAACAAGCTTTGGTGATGGGTGCTGTGAGAGAGACTGAGAAAATGCAAGGAGGAAAAGGGTAAAAACTAGAAGAAATTATCCTAATATTGATCGGTAGAACACGAGGGTATGCGAATATATCCCGGATTTGTTAATTGCATTTCCCGAATTCGGACCGACTCTATTCGAGCCGAATGTATGTCTACGTCAGGGTCGCAGTTGAGCCGATTTAGATGAGGGTTTCTAATACTAGCTAGATATTCTAATATTATAACAGCTCGGATAATTATTTATTTAAACTACTCCGAAGTAAGTATAGATAATAAATAAGCTTAATTCCGTGTAGATAGAGTTTCAATATAGGAATGTGAAGCGATTCAGTATTAAGCAACGAACGAATGACAATAAGCAATTGTTTCGCAATGAAGAGCAGAGACTGTGTTTCCTACAATGTTTAGAGAATCATTCTTTGGCATGTGCAGCCGCGATGTTGGTATCTGCGCGCTCCGAATACAAACTCATGCGACTGACATTAGGCAAGATCTCGATTCGTTTCGCCGGAGATGGAATCTGATTGAAGGCCTGCACTTCCATGCCGTAATATTATCGTTCTCGGCGGCGATCATCATAACCCGAGTATTGACCACCCGTGAGAGGAACGGCCAAACAGAGTAGTTCAACAGCAGTTCCGCGGATTCCATCGTACTCCAATGCTCGTGAAACGGAACCTCACCTTGCTTCACTTGCATGAACACCTCATTGACATGAGGGAAGGGCCAGACTGAAAGTTCATCGTATGGCGTGCGAGAGGCCATTGCAATCTTGCCTTCCTTGCCAGTCACACGGAGTCTTCGATCTTCGAGGATGGCTGCTTCGAGATCAGTGAACCACCGTTCACCATGTACGCGGCGCAGGTTGTTAAGCCGGGTGATGCAGTGACAGCAGGGCTTTTGTCATTTTGAGACTTGGCCCCCAACCGCTCACACCAAACCGCTTTAAGGATATCAACATCCTCTAATCTCTAAGCAGTTAAATAAATTAAATTAGATAGAGAAGGATCGCCATGAGGTACGTGTACCCTCAGCCCAAACTTATACGGTACTATATGGATCTATGCGAACATCCAACCTATCCAACCTCTCAGCACATCCACCCCCCTGGCAATCCAATACCGCATCGCACTCCCGAACCCTCCCAACCACCCTCGTTGATAAAACTCTCCAAACCAGATACTCTGCCTCCAATTCAAATATGTCCTCCTCGTAACTCGTTCCTCCCATTCCCTCCACCCCATCTCCCCCCTTACCAGCCCCTCCGTCAACTTCGCCTGCTCTGCCGCCTGACTCGTCGCAAAGGCAGTATGCGGACGGAGTAACGCTGACGCATCGCCGACTAGCAGCACCGTTCCATCTAGAAACGATGTCTGCGGCGACCAAAAATCCGTGATGAGATGTACGAACGGCGAGGCAATCTGGTCCATGATTTCGAGGTACGGTTCTGGAAGCGACGCTCTTGCGATAGATCGTTGGCGAGCCCAAACCGACGGCT